TTGAATTTTGAGACACATGACATTCATTCATTTTATTTCGCCATTTTTGGGAGACTAATTTAGACCATCCATTCTGAGATAAATCGTATTGATAATGACCTTTTAACCAATTTGTCCATTGATTCATTATAGAATTGGGAGCGCTCTTATGTTTTAATTGGAATGAGATATTCCTTGTATTTTGAAAAAAGAATCCTTTATTTCTTTCTTAAGAAAAAGGGGTGTTCCATGATATTCAAAAACAAATCTTAATTTATACTTATATAAGTTAATAACTTGGGTTTGTGATAATTTGTAAATACATATGCTTGTGACAAGAGGATACGTCACAAAAATTATGTGAATTCGTATTCCTAATATTATAAATTGATTTTTTTATAGTAGAAATAAAGTGAATTAAACTTTTATTTTTTTTATCACTTCTTTTTCTTTCTTCATTTGCTTCATTATTGTAAATATATTTATTAATAATTTTTTTCTTGATTCAAGAAAAGTTGTACATTGATTCTAGGAATATTAATGATACATACAAAGATATCTATATATACTCTTTCTATGAAAAATTTAAAAAAATAATGTGATTTGTGGGATAATCGGACATTTCTTTTTTGTAATATCTGCAAAATATTTTTTTTGTAATTCTAATCTTTTATCATCATAAGTTGTTTTCTTAGAACAAATATTTCTATCTGAGCCTTTCTTCTTGTTTTTTTTAATTTTTCTATTTGTTTTATGATTTTCTTTGTTCTATCATTCATATCTTTTATTTTTTCTATCAATGAACAATCTGTCCAATTAATAGATTGAATTGGAATGGTAGATTTGTAAATCATTGGATTACTCTTACTTTTTGTTGAATCTTTTTGAATTTCATTCAATTCATATATTTTTCTCAATCCAAATATAAATAAAAGATTTGATAATGATAGTTTTTTTATTTTTTCTTTTAGAAATAGAATCCCTTTCAGAATACTTTGGATGATCCATTGTACTGTTTCTTTTGAGATATTTAGAAAAAAAATCTTGTTCTTTTGTTTAACACTTTTAAAACTAGAAAAATATTCCTTTTCCAAATTTTTATTTTTTTTAGTTCTTTAAAAATGGGATAAAAAAATGTCGATTTCGGGGAGAAGAAGAAAAGGGCAATTCTACTTCCATCCTGAAAACTGTTAAAAAGAAGAAATCCATTTTTTAACTTTTTTTTTCATTGGATCCTTTTCTTTTTGAGGTGATCGTAGCTTAGATCTATATCTGTGTCAAGGTTTCAGACAAAAAGGAAAAAGGACCTTTATTTGAAGACCCTCAGCTAGCCAGTTTTTTAGAAATTCTATTTTGAATAATTGAATGCCATTATAGGTGCATTTAATATACATTTCTCTATTCCAATCCTTTAAATCCTTTGACCATTTAGGAGATTGAAATAATAGTATACAAATGATATTTTAGTTATTATCAACAAGGGTAATAGAATATATTTTCTAATAATTGATTGGGTTACTAATAAGAAGCCTCTTATTACTTGAGCATATATAATGCTATCACAGGCTTCTGCTATTTCTATACGCTTTTCTTCCTCTTTTTTCTTAATCTCTTTTGTCTTTTCCTTTGCATAATTGAGATTTTCAATTCTGTATTTTTTTTATTTTTTCCACATCCAATTTAAAAAAAGATTTTTATTGGCTCGAAAATATCAAAAGAAAAGAAAGAGAGTTTGTCAATTTTGTCCAAAAAAAGAGGAGAATGTGCGATTGCTTGAAAGATTTTCCAATTAACAATTTTACATCTTTGAGCACGTCTAGATCCTTTGATTATGTCTCACCAAAAATTTGGTTGTTGTGAATAACTTATTAAAGCTAATTCATCTTTTTCATCAGAATTATCAGTATCCTTGGTATGCATATAAGGATCGGCATTCTCTAAGTCATTAGTAAAAATGACTACACGTTTGGCTTTTCTTGAACGAATCTCATAATCTGCTGTTTCACTAGCTCTTTCCAGGTGTTCTACCTCGTCAATTAATTTGTATGACTATCAAGGAACTTTTTTTACTGCTTTCTTTTATTCCAATACATTTTTTTCTATTTATAATTGTTTTATCATTCACATCAGTTAGAATTGTGTCGAATAAGAATTTTATTTTTTTTAGCTTCAGAATCCATCTTTTCATGTTTTGGAAATAAATAAAGTCCTTTAAAATTGAAATTGGATATTGATCTTTTAGAAAATTGACTGATTAAGTTTAAAAAAATGAATTTCATTTGATAATTGTTTTTTTATCAAATCTATTTATTTTTTGTTCAAAGTCTGGATAATCAATATTAATATTAAGAAGGACGGCGTGAATCTTATTTATCTAAATGTTGTTTTTTGTGTAAGTTTTATTCTTGATTGAGAATAAAAAAAAACCTTTTTTGATTCGTCTGCGATTGGGTTTGTTCAAGAAAGGATCATATATTTTAGGTAAGTATTTTTTTTAGTGTCATCATTACATAATCTAATTCTTTTTTTGAGTACATCCAAAGCAAAAAATTCCTTATCTAGAGCTTCGACCCTATTTAGAAATTGATTACTTAAGTTGTTTCTTTTTTATTCATTAATAGAACTCCAATGATTATCTAATTCATCATAGAAGAGTTTTTCTATTGTGAAGAGAGACGTCTTTCTTTGCATCATTTTAAGAAAAGTTGATAAACTAGATAGATACGTAAAAGATATTCTTTCTTTTGCATCACTTTGGCATGTATGAAAAAAGAATTGTGACATTTCATTTCTTATAGCATTTTTAAATTGATCAGTTTTTCTATATCGCAGAGGACGATGGAATCGTTTATAATCAAAAAGAATCCTTAGAAGATGTTTTTCCAATCGAAAGATATCTTTCTCCTCTCTTTCATCAATTTTGTATGAATTCTCTCTTTCCTTCAAAAAATGAGAAGCAAAAGATATTTTGCATTGGATTTTTTTTGTTCTTGTTTAGTTACCTTCATTGAAGTTCTTTCTACACCTTTTTTTTTTGTTATCAATTTCACCTCTTTCTTGAATTTCTAATAGTTTTTTATTTTTAATAAAAATAGGCAACGGTATTCTTCGTAAAGAGTATATTGAGGAAATAAATAAAAAAATAATAAAGATTTGAGACATAAAATCTCTCAATTCTAACATAATGTACTTATTCGATCTAATAAGTACATTAGATTTAATAGAATTATTTTTTTGTATCCAGACTAATACCAATCCAACCTATTTCATGAATAAAATGTGACCAATTAACCAACCAACAAAACTACTTGTTAGAAATAAGAATTGGTTGTTGCATCAAAACATATAAATATTGACTAATTTGACTAACATTGAACTTGGTAAAATGAAAAGGTTTAATAACTGAAAAATAAGATTATTCAGGAATATCCTTTGAATGCTAAAATTACGCATTGAATTTTGATTAGTTGATCCATAATTTAAAAATTGTTTGTGATTATTGTAGAAGAAATGAAATAAAAGATAGGGTAGAGTTATGATAGTTATTGTATGAGATCTACCCAATGTTAGATGCAAAGGTGCATAATAGATCGATATGAATATCATGAGCTATCCTGTAATAAAACTAGTTGTTGCTAATACTTTCTTCTCGATTCCTTCTTCCATAACCCAAGCTCAGAGAAGGAAGAGATAAGAGGACCTTATGGAGAATGTGGTCAGAAATCCATAATAGAGCCCAACCACAATGATCAAATTAATTATCTTCATGCATAAGGATACTAGATTATCTAATATAAGAGATTTCAAAATCATCACCCTTGGGGAAATGCACTCGGTGCCGTACCAACTGAGCAGCTCTACAAGCATGTGTAAAGGCTCGTAATAAGGGATGTGATCTTGTTTGTGAAGGTAATGAAATTATTCGTGAGGCTAGCAAATGGAGTCCTGAATTAGTTGTTGCTTGTGAAGTATGGAAAAAAATCAAATTTGAATTCGAAGTAATGGATACTTTGTAATCTAGTAATTACTATTTGTTCTATTAATTGAATTGAAATTAAACTCAGCCTAATATTTTCCTAAAAAGATTGAGCCAAATACAATACAAAGATATTATTTGACACTATTGTATATTGTTGTATATATTTGTATATATTTGTATATTTTTTAGTGTATATATTTTTGATTAGATTTCTATTTTATATTCATTTTTTATATTAATTTATATTAATATGAATTAATATTAAAAAATGAAAAATAAATCTAAATTTTATTAGCTTTATTTATATTTTAGATTTTCTATTTTATAGATAACTATTTATCTAGATATACAAGATCTTAAATACAAAATAGAAGACAAAACAACTTAAACATTTTTATTGTTAAGTTGGATGCACAATTAATCCTATGGATTTTTAGGATTGGTGTATTCTTTTCCATCTCATAGTTTTGAATCCTGGGTCGAGCTAAATATCACAACTTTTTTTACCCATCCTGTATATTGCCCTTTCTTTTCGTTTTGTGTTGGAGTAGAAATTTATTAGTATTTAAGTAGACAAGATTTTACAAAAAAAGTTCTTCAGATTCATAGGAGAGAACAACTATTTCATTTTTCGATGTGAATTTGACACAATAAGGGGTAAACTACTCAAAAAATTCAATAAATTATTTATTTGTATTTGATTTTTTATTAAATTTCAAATTTTTAATAAGAATTAATTAGAATTTATATAATTTTTTGAAGATTTTTCAATTCTATTTCAATTCTATTATTATAGAATTGAAATAGAAAAGAGTTCCAACACATATAGTGACCTACATAGTGAAACGATAGTGAGGTTCTCAAGAAAAAGAATCATTTTTTAATATCCACTCACTCGTTATTATTAGTTAATAATTCTAGTGATTGAATTTATATGCTTATTGTGATAGGAAATAAGATATTCAAAAGAAAATTTTTCATGGAATGATTTTTCATTTAGTGTATTTTCATGTAAATAGAGACAAGAAAGCTCTATGAAAAAATGGTGGCTCAATTTGATGAATATAGGTGTGGACTAAGTAAATCAATGGATAGTTTTGGTCTTATTGAAAATACCAGTCTAAGTGAAGACCCAATTCTAACTAATATAGATAAAAACATTCAGAGGTGAGTGATAGTGATAATTCTAGTTGCAGTAATGTTGATTGTTTAGTCGACATTGGGAACATTCAGAATTTAATATCTGATGACACTTTTTTAGTTAGAGATGGTAATAGGGACAGTTATTCCATATATTTTGATATTGAAAATCAAATTTTTGAGATTGATAATGATCATTCTTTTCTAAGTGAACTAGAAAGTCTTTTTTATAGTTATAAAGATTTCAGCTATTTGAATAATGTATCTAAGAGTGATGATCCCGACTATGATCATTACATGTATGATACTAAATATAGTTGGAATAATCACATTAATAATTGCATTGACAGTTATCTTCATTCTCAAATCTGTATTGATGGTTACATTTTAGGTGATAGTGACAAATACAATTATAGTTACATTTATAGTTACATTTGTGGTAAAGGCAGAAATATTAGTGAAAGAGGGAATTCTAGTATAATAACTCACACGAATGCTATAAGTGATTGTGATTTAACTAGAAGAGAAAGTGCTAATGATCTAGAGGAAACTAAAAAAATACAGACATTTGTGGATTCAGTGCGAAAATTGTTATGGATTAAATTATAAGAAAGTCTTGAAATCAAGAATGGATATTGTGAACACTGTATATATCATTTGCAAATGAGCAGTTCAGATAGAATCAAACTTTTAATTAATCGAGGTACTTGGAATCTGATGGATGAAGACATGGTTTTGAGGGATCCCATGAAATTTTATTCAGAAGAGGAAGCTTATAAAGATCGTCTTTCCTTTTATCAAAGAAAGACAGGATTAACTGATGCTATTCAAACAGGCACAGGTCAACTAAATGGTATTCCCGCTGCGGCAATTAGGGTTATGGATTTTCAATTTATGGGAGGTAGTATGGGATCCGTAGTAGGTGAGAAAATCACCCATTTGATCGAATATGCTGCCAATCAATTTTTACCTCTTATTCTAATATGCGTTTCTGGAGGAGCACGTATGCAAGAAGGAACTTTCAGCTTGAAGCAAATGGGTAAAATATCTTCTTCTTTATATGATTATTAAGCAAATAAAAAGTTATTCTATGTCTTGATCCTTACATCTCCTACTACTGGTGGGGTGACGGCTTAGTTTTGGCATGTTGGGAGATATCATTATTGCTGAACCCAATGCTTACATTACATTTACGGGTAAAAGAGTAATTGAGCAAACATTGAATAAAACAATACCTGAAGGTTCACAAGCGGCTGAATATTTATTCCATAAGGGCTTATTTGATTTAATCATATCGTGTAATCTTTTAAAGGGCATTCTAAGTGAGTTATTTCAGCTCCATGCTTTCTTTCTTTTGACTCCAAATTAAATTAAGTAGAGCTTTATCAATTTTTTATTGATAATATAAAATAATAATTAATTATTTATTATCTTTTTCTATTCTACTATATTCTAATTATTCTATTTGAATTATACTATCTAAAATGAATATTCAAAATAAAAATATTAAAAAAATTTAATATTTTTGATTTCTTAATTATTATTAATTCAAATTAATATTAATTAATATTTTTTTGATTCCATTTTTTCTACTTAATTAGATTCTTATTTATTATATATATTCATACTCATTTAGATATACTTAGTATAATTCTATATAGATTTCTATATGCAAATCTACTTGGTATTGGTAGAAGTATATATGAATTCTAATAATTATAAAATCTCTTTATAACAATATAAAAATATAAAATAAAAGGTAAAAATCTTAATAGAACAATAACAAAAAAAATATAAAAATAACATGTACAAATATTAAATTGAGGTACCCATTCTATGACAACTCTCAGTCACTTACCCTCTATTTATGCCTTTAGCAGGCCTAGTATTTCCAGCAATTGCAATTGCTTCTTTATTTCTCCATGTTCAAAAAACAAGATTTTTTAGACATGGGTAGCAGTAGGACAAATCTCATCTATTTTTTTTCAAATCTAGAAGCAATTCGATGAATTACTCCTAAAGGTTTACATAAAAATAGTGCGAGTTGATGAGAGTTACTTCACAAACAAGGAAAAGTTAAATCAAATTCATTTGGTTGGATTATTTTCCCAATTCTTAAAAAAATACAACTGGATCTAATATGAGTTGGTGATCATAATGTATATGGATAGAACTTATAATGGGGTCTTAAAAAACAAGTAATTTCTACTAGACCATTATCCTTTTTTTAGGTTTATTAGGGTTCTTACTGGTTGGAACTTCAAGTTATCTTGGTAGGAATTTGTTATCTTTATTTCCATCTCAGCAAATTCTTTTTTTCCACAAGGGATCGTGATGTCTTTCTATGGAATTGCTGGTCTCTTCATTAGGTCCTATTTGTGGTGTACAATTTCGTGGAATGTAGGTAGTGGTTATGATCGATTCGATAGAAAAGAGGGAATAGTGTGTATTTTTTGTTGGGGATTTCCTAGAAAAAAATCATCGTATCTTTCTTTGATTCCTTATGAAAGACATTCAGTCCATTAGAATAGAAGTTAAAGAGGGTATTTATACTCATTGTGTCCTTTATATGGAAATCAGAGGACAGGGAGTCATTCCCTTGACTTTTACTGATGAGAATTTGACTTCATGAGAAATTGAACAAAAAGCAGTAGAATTGGCCTATTTCTTGTGTGTACCAATTAAAGTATTTTGAAAAAAATGAATTGAAAAATGAATGCTTTCTTAAAAAAAACAAAAAAAATTCTTGAATCTTTTTTAGAAATATTTGATATTTTTAATTTTGATAGTAAAGGTGTTTTTTCATTTTGAAATCCAACTAATATTCATTACTTAAGTGCTCTTTCATGCATTCATCAAAAGGGATAATTGCTTGAAATTTTAGTGATCGATATCTTTGGAATAATATTTTTTTCTTGTTCGAATTAGAAGCAAACTCTTTCTCTTTTTTATTCTATTTGTGTATTCTTTCTAAATTCAAGAACTAACTCCCAAATTGCAAATAAAAAAAAACATGAGAATAGATTCATAGGCTCTATGACTTGTAATAGAACTTATGCTTGATAGAAATATTCTTATCATATAGAGTTGATGAATGAGGTGAAGCTGACTTCATTAAAGACGAAAAATGGCCAAAAAAAAAAAGCATTCATTCCCCTTCTATATCTCACATCTATAGTCTTTTTGCCCTAGTGTATCTCTTTCTCATTTAAGAAAAATACGGAATCTTGGGTTACTAATTAATCAAATACTAGGCAATCTGAAATTTTCTTGAATGATATTCAAGAAAAGAGTATTCTAAAAAAATTCATAGAATTAGAGGAACTCTTCCTCTTGGATGAAATGATAAAGGAATACTCGAAAATAAATATGCAAAACCTTCATATCAGAATCTACAAAGAAACGATCCAATTGATCAAAACACACAATAAAGATTGTATCTATACGATTTTGCACTTCTCGACAAATATAATCTGTTTCGTTATTTTAAGTGGTTATTCTATTCTAGGTAATCAAGAACATATTATTCTTAAATCTTGAGTTCAAGAATTCCTATATAACTTTAGCGACACAATAAAAGCTTTTTCTATTCTTTTATTAACTAATTTATGTATAGGATTTCATTTGACCCATGGTTGAGGAACTAATGATTGGTTCTGTCTATAAATATTTTGGATTTTCTCATAATGATCAAATTATATCCGGTCTTGTTTCCACTTTTCAGTCATTCTAGATACAATTTTAAAATATTGGATTTTTTGTTATTTAAATCATGTATCTCCGTCACTTGTGGTGATTTATCATTCAATGAATGACTGAAAAAAGGATCCAATAATCCAATTAGAAAGTTTGTTATTTTGTACAAAAGCCAACCATTCCAAAATTGACTTATTCTTTTCTCTTTCTTTCCACTTATCTAGTATATTTCAGTAAATTCTTTCAGTACATAGCAAAATCATGGATAAGGAACTGTACCTGTGATCGACCAAATTTTACTGTAGAACTTTTAAGGATTAATGATTGGACCATGCAAACTAGAAATTACTGTTCTTGGATAAAGGAATAGATTACTCGATCAATTTCCATATCGCTCATGATATATATAATAACTTGAGCACCCATTTCAAATGCATATCTTATTTTTGCACAGCAAGTTAGGAAAATCTGCGAGAAGCAACTAGCCGTATTGTATGTGCCAATTGCCATTTAGCTAATAAGCCCGTGGATATTAAGGTTCCACAAGTGGTACTTTTTTGATATTGTATTTGAAGCAGTTGTTTGAATTCCTTATGATATGCAAGTGAAACAAGTTCTTGCTAATGGGAAAAAGGGGGCTTTGAATGTGGGGGCTGTTCTTATTTTACCAAAGGGTTTGAATTGGCTCCCCCTGATCGTATTTCTCCTGAGATTAAAGAAAAGATAGGTAATCTGTCTTTTCAAAGCTATCGTCCCACTAAAAAAAATATTCTTGTGGTAGTCCCTATTCCTGATCAGAAATATAATGAAATCACTTTTCCTATTCTTTCCCCTAATCCCGCTACTAAGAGAGAGGTTCACTTCTTAAAATATCCAATATACGTAGGCAAGAACAGGGGAAGGGGGCAAATTTTTAATTTTTAAAAAAACTAATGGATGTTTGTTCAAATTTAATGATGGGGCAAAACTATCTCAATTTTAATTATTTAAGGTTAAAAATATATTTTTAAAAATTTTAAAATTCAAATCACCCTTGAACCAATAGTTTAAGGTTCAAATTATATGTTAACCTTGCCAAAAAATTATTTTAATATCCTCAAAATAAAATATATTACTTTTTCCTTTATTTTAACTTAATTATAAAGATTTTTTTATGTTTAAAATATATACAAATTCCTCTTAAAATTAATAGTCAAGAGTTATTAAATACAAATATAACTTTTACTTTTAAATTTTTATTTTCACCCATCCAATTATTAGTTGATAGTTAAATCATATATATTGGACAAAATACCATTCTTGATATATTCTTTTAAATTTTTATTTATAATTTAAATTTATTACTCATACAAACTAATTTATTTAGTATTTTTTTAAAAAAATTAAATACATAAAAAACTAAATACATACTCCATGTTTTAAAAATGTAAGATATTTTTAACCAAATTTTATTTTAATAAAGTAGATATTTGTCTTCAAAATAGCACTATTTTTTATATTTACTATTTAATTGAGTGTTTCCTTATAAAATAGATATAAAATGAGACTAAAATTTAAGTTTTAAAAACAAAGAAGAAGTTTTTATAACTTTAACCAATCAAAAGGGATGTCAATGTATTTTACTTTATAATTTATTAATTTTTAAAAATTAATAAATTAAAATCCTCTTCTATATCTCTACAGTTGGCAAATATGAGACTAAAATTTTAATGGAATGATACCTATAAGGAATGACTTCTACTTTACAATGTACTACTCTTTTATATATATATATATATATATAGCATTTTTTTATTTCTCATCACTTGCAATTTGAAATATATTATTGTTTTTATATATCTAACACCTATTATTTTACTAAGAATTTTTATTCACCATTAATTTTTACTATGAATCCTATATAATCTTTCAAAATGTAAAAGTATTATTAGTTTGTATAACTTGTTTAAATTTTTAGAATTTATAAGTGTAGACCTCACTCACATTTTTTAATGGTAGGTCTTATGTACCACTTTTTTAAACACACTACTCTAATTTTTAAAAATAAAGTATACTAAATCTTACATTCCCTCTATTACCTATAAAGTCCCAAATATCTAAACATATAAAAAATTATAATTAAATCTAACTTTTGACACTTTTAGCTTTTGGGCTTCTTTAAGTTGGTTTAACTTGCCTAATTATTACAAATTATTTTATTTTATTTTTCTCTTTATTGAGTTCATAAGTCGCGTCTTTGAATATATTTTTATATATTTAATTTTTAAAGAGTTACAAAATCAATACATGTAAATAATAAAAATTTAAATAATTTTTTTAAAAAATTTAAATAATTTTTACACAATATTTATATATAAATAGGGGTATTTTAGTTCAACAAACATGACTTAACTTCTTCTTGTTTCCTAAGGTACCTCCACAATCAATAAGTATGAGATTAAAATTTTAATGATATGATATCTATAAGAAACGGCTTTTATTTTACAATTTGCTACTTATATATATATATATAGCATTATTTTTTAAAATTTCTCACTTCCTACAATTTAAAATATAATAGAACTTGTTCTTTTCAAAATGTGTTGCCCCATGTATCACCTTAAGGAAAACAAAACATATATTATAATGCATCGTATTACAACTTATATTATGATATTTTTTATAAATCATGATTATAATAATTGTAACTCAAGCAAAAAAGTATAATCCATGTTATAATACCATTCATCAATCATTTGTACAATCATTAAAAGTAATAAAATGATTATTGAAAAAACGATTATGTGTGCAATGGAAGATAAATTCTTTAACATCATATAATTAACTTATAGCTCATAATTTTATTTTCTCAGACTTGAGACACACAACTACATCAATATTTTTCATAGGTGTTCAAATTATAATCAATTTTTACATCTAAATAATAAAATAATATATTTTTATGCCCTACACAAGGGGTTGCCACAAGTTTTAGGAGTACGGCCAAAAATTTTGCATTCAGAAAATATCGATTAAATTTTAAAAATTTAAAAGTATGGTTTATTAACATTGATATGCAAGAGGTTTATCATTAATATATAATAAATTTATCATTTAAAATTTATAAAGAATTCATCATTTGTATATAATGGTATGTCATTGACAAATATAATAAATTGGCCATAATGCAAAATATAATAAATATATAAAATTTTTTTGCATATCTAACGCCTATCATTTTAAAAAAAATTATATTTACCATTAATTTTTACTATGAATCCTACATAATCTCTCAAAATATAAAATATTATTATTTTTACACCTTATTTAAATTTTTAAAATTTATAAATGTAATCCCCTCACATTTTTTAATGGTAGATCTCACACACCACTTTTTTAGACCACATTACTCCAATTTTTTAAAAGTCAAGTTTATTAAAATTTTACATTAACTCCATTACCTTTAGTGCCTCAATTCAAACCAATTTTAAAATATTAAAATACATAAAAAATTTATAGTTAAGCTCGACTCTTGAGAATCTAGCTTGTGAGTTTTTTTCAGGCTAGTTTAACTGTTCTAAATTATTAAAAATTATTTTATTTTATTTTTCTCTTTATTAAGTCCATAAACTGTGTTTTTGAATTTTTTTTTGTCCAATTTATGTATTTTATTTTTTAAAAAGTTATAAGATAAATATATTTAAGTAATAAAAATTTAAATAAGAAAAAAATTTATGTTTGGTTATTTAAATAATTTTTAGACAATATTTATATTTAAATAGGGATATTTTAATTTAACATACATGATTTAACATTTAACTAATAGTTAGATGGATAAAAATAAAATTTTAAAAATAAAAGAGAGGCTTGTATTTTATAACTATCAATACTAAGAAATGTTCATATAGATTTTAAAAAAATAAAGGAGAGATATCATTAATTAAGATAAAAATAGATAAAATATTTTACTCATTTTTAACCATAAGTTTCATATTAACAACTTATTTTTATATAGGTCCCACATGTACCTCTTTTATCATAGGGCCCATGCTATTCTTTAACTTTTTTATCATATCATTAAGAAAAATTAACAATAAAAAAAAAAGGGGAGCTGCGTGTCAAACAATTAAAAAGTTAAAAAAAAATAAAAAGTCGGATGGGTACTGTAGATATACAGTACCACCGACGGCATTTACAATATATTATATAGATTATAGATTATAGATATAGATTATAGATAAATATACTCTATAGAACCGACATGCAATTTTTCCGAAAAAACTTGCTAGGAACAAAACTTGAAGGGAAAAATCCCAATGAAGTCCCTCATAATAGGATTATTTACAAGTTAGTCCTTAGAATATTTTGAAACCTTTCAGAGATCCAAGTGAAAAAAACAATTAATGGTAATTTATATAAATGACTTCAACTTATTAAAAGAAAAAAACAGTCCACCATGCCCACGGATAATTAGAAGTTGAGAATTTAAGTCTAATGACATGTCAAATTATATTTCAAATTAAATGGTGTAATATGTTCAGTTCAAAAACCTTCCTTGAAGTGCATAAATTCTTCAGAATTCATTTCAATTGTTCTTGTTTGGAAAAGTAAATAGTCACTCCTAATATATTTTATCAGAATAAAAAAAATTTAAACCTTATTAACTTTATCTAAAAATTTAATAAATTCTCAACTTTGTCTCTCATTCAATATGAATACTTTAATAATATATTTTCTCTTTTCAATATTTAATAGAGGATAAAAAAATTTATAATAAAAATTTAATGACATAATTTATACTTTCTCCGGTCCAAATAATAAGACTTTTTTTTCAACTCATCTTAGTTCAAAATATAAGACACTTAATATGTCTTAATTTTTTTCTATTTTACCCTTATATTTATTAACTTAGTTTGTTGTGTAACTTATTAATATTTATTATATTTTTCTCACTCTTCATGATAGCCAAAACTTTAATTTGGTCTACAAGAGGTTCACTTTTTCTCATATATAGTACTTTAATAAAAAAATTATCTTTCTTATTTAATTTATTATTGATAATTGGTGAAAAGGGTAAAAAAAATTTATGATATTTATAATTAAAAATAAGGATATAACTGAATTTTATTGACATTCAAATTATAGTTAAAAATGTCTTATATTTTAGACTAGATGGAGTATATATTATAAAAAAAAAAAACTTCTCTCCATACCGGGTAAATAGGAATGAAGGAAATAATGAAGGTAGAATGACAAAGAAGTCCCAAAATGATTGATTAATTTGAGTTAGATTCCAAGTGTCAAACTCTAAAAATTTGCAACCTAATCTCTCGATTTTGCAATTGTATTATGATGAATTTGTAATTTATTTTTTAAATTTTAACATGGTTGAAGAATAAAAAAATATTTTTCTACTATAATTTAGAATATAAGTTGCAAATTTATTAAAACGTAATTGTAAAATTAAAAAATTAAGTTGTAAATTCTCAAAATTTAATATTTAAGACTTAATTTAAATTAATTAATTTTTTTAAGACTTCTCTATCATCCTCCCAATAATGAAATCCAACTCCCAAGAACCAATTTTACCAATGATTAAAGACCAAAAAAAAAAAAAAATACCCCCCTTGACTTGTTTTATTCCGCGTCCGATGAAATGAATTATTGTCGTTAAGGAGAAGAACATAGGAGTATTCAATGTCTGCACAAAAGCAACAAAATTGAGGTCATCAAATCAACAGAAGTTACTGGCCCTCTTAACTAGATACATTGTAAGTATCACAAATCCAGTTTGGGTGAGTCCAATCTGGACGAGCTAGATCAAACGTACCCCGGTCTAGATTTCATAAAATTTCATTTTTATAAAACTTTTTACATGAACAATTATGAGTTAAAATTTTTAAATTTAAACCATTAAAATCCTTGAATGGCCTATTTTTTATTGGAGTGACGAGTACTCAGACAAAATGAAGAGGGGGGATGTACTATTAATGTGAAATAAAGAATGAAATGTGAGAATCATATTGCTGAGAAGAAATCAAACCCAACAGGCTAATAGAGGGCTCAGAAAATTGAAACCTAATCGCAAATGAACACATATATAACCCATATTCAAGTTCTCACCAAGAACAATTAACTCATCTATTTAGTATTATAATGCATTTTTAGTTGAATTACACTTTTTAATCAGTTACTCCTCTCTTTAAAATTATACCCTTTCCATGTTTAACTTCTCAATTAGAAAATTTTATTAATTCTATTTCTTAATTGAGGGTATTTTTGGAAAAGTCTTTATTAATGGCACATTGAAGGGTTCAAAATGTCTTATGTGTTTAAATATGATACTTTAAAAAAATGTGTCATAATATTAAACAGAATAGTTTTTTGTCAAATGTTATCTCTGACGAAGAAAATTGTTGGTTAAATGAAAAAATTGTTCATAACTTTCCAGTTGCAATTAATCTTTTTTAAAACTCACATCTTGCCAAAATTATTGGTTAAACTAAACGACAGAATGGTTTCTTTTCACTATATTTTCTTCATATACTTGTTAGAACAAAAAAAAATATATAATTTTAAACCCCTGTACTTTACTCAAATTTTGTTATAGGTTATTGCCCTTATTTTTAATGTTTTAGATTCCTATACTTTTATTTTTTGGTGTTTTAGTCCAGGGACCTATAAAAATTGAGTAAAATGCAAAGATTTAAATTGATAATTTTTAACAGAAAAAAAAAAAGAACTCTTCCAGTTATTGAGAATGGGAATACTTGTTAGTTAATTAGAATGAAAGCTGGAGATTAATTAAGCAATGACACTTGTTGGACATCAATATAATAGATATCACTCAATTATTAAAATTAATCTTAGGTTTTATCATTACATAACTTCCTCTTCATTTCACTCTTTTGAAACCTTATAATTAATTAATACAAATACAATACCTCTCAACTTAAAACAAGAACACAGAAGAAAAGAGGGCTTTCATCGTATTGATGGAGTTGAGGAGAAACAACCCAGAAGATATGAACACACTCAAAGCAACAAGAAGCATCATAGCCATAGCAAAGCATGGCCTCACACTCATCAAATAACTCTGCAGCAATCCCACGACTTCACAAACATGCTCCCCATATTCTCCCACATAATACTTTCTCTCCCACTCCATCATTCCTTTGTCGTCGTCGTCGTCTTCTTCTTCTTTCTCGTTCTTCTTTTCCATAATCTTCATCTCTCTTATTCGCAGTCTCAACACGATCATGTTTTCATCAACCAATCTTCCCCACCGGTGCTCTCTTCCTCCAATCGCTCTCACAATGGCCATGCCACCCACACGGCGCTGTCTTCTTGGGCGAGATGCTGATGATGCCAATGACATGAGGCTCCTTGAGGGAAGAAGAGCCGACGCCTCCATCGAAGACAAAGAAAAGATCAGAGAGAGATGAATAAGGAGATAGTATTGTTTTAATTTTACTATGTTTGGAGTGTTTGAAGGTGCTTGAAATGGTGGGAAAGAGTATGCGTGGGTTTAACCAAGTGAAGCGTCCTTATATTTGTAGGGAAAATTGCGTGTCCAAGGGGAAATGCTTACAATATATTTGACAATAACTATCAAACTGGACGGTATGTCGTTACATTGTTTATCGGGTTTAAAATATTTTTTTAATTTTATTTATAAGTCATTTTTGGCATTTTCATTGAAATAAAAAAAGTTTTTAAATTTCATTAACTCTGTCTAAAAATTTAAATTTTTAATTTTACTCCTATTAAATATAGCTAAAGGAGTATCTTTGGTTTTTTATAACTTTATACAAGATTTTAATTTAATCTTTTAGTTTTATAAGGTATCTTTTTCAGTTCTCTAATTATAACACTGTTAGTTTTAAATGTTTATTTGTTGTATCAATAATTTTTATTTTAAAGAATTAAACTTATATAATATATATTTATATTTGAGAATATTTAAAATTAATAGTATCAAGGCTAAAGGATTGAAAAGACATTTCATAAAAGTAAATGACCAAAATAAAATTTTATATAAAGTTAAAGAACTAAATATATATTTTAACCTTCTTAATAGTTATAATGCTTGATGCTGTGCCTGAAAAGATAAATTGGCATACTAGTTAGAAAAAATCTTGTGTCCAAAAAATATGAACCAAATTTTTTAAAATTTGAAAATACGGCTAGTTCCGATTGATGTACAAGGAGTTTATTATTAATGCACAAGAAATTTATCATTCATATAAAGGGTTTATCATTAAAAATTTAAAATTTATAAGGAGTTTATCATTCATATATAATGGTATATCATTGATAAATATAATAAATTAGCCATAATTTAAAATATAATAAATAGTGGCTATTTGTTTGGTTTGGTACTATAACATGAGTTATATCTAAACAAACTCCAAACTTAAATTGCTTTGTACCAAGATATAATAGTTGACTTTAACTTGTAGAGACTTATGAAAAAACCGAATATCTTGCTTTAATATGCGATCACTTCGATATTAAATATAATATAATTTTATGAGACTTATTTTGATTCAAATTAATATAATATAGTTCAACAATATCAACTAAAAAAGAATTGTGCAGGTAAATTAGAGGCTTAGTATTATTCTATATACCGTCTCCTTGAGAGTGTTTCGAGTTGTAGTTATAACCTAATATTCACCTTCTGTCCAACTGTTACAATCTCAAGCCATATAATATACGACCATATATGGATTGTAACATAAATATAATCTAATATAAACTTCATCTTCCAGGTAGAATATTAATAAAACTTTCATGGTCAAAGGTTTAATTCTTTATTTTACATTATTTTCGAACTTCAAAATCTCTTGTATAATAATAATATAAAGTCTAGATTGAATTTGGCTTTTAGAAACCATGTGGGGAATGTATGAAACGCGGAAATTAACGATTTTATAAGTATTTGTCTAAGGAGTTTTTTTTTTTTTGGTTGCTAACTAATATTCTCCTTTTGGAGGTAATCCTTTTTGAAATAAAATTGGGTACTAAATGTGGACATCTCTTCCAACAAGAGCTTGAATCTTGGTTCCTCATGTTATAAGGAATAAGTCCCTTCCGCTAAACTCAACCTTTAGTGGTATGAAGTATTTTTCAATCATTAATATCTTTTATTATTTTAGTGATTTTCTCATATCTGATTCATATATTTTCTTATTGAAGAAAGGCTAAACTACACACAACTTCCTTAAACTTTGAACCATATGCAACAAGTCATTAATTATATACTCCTTAAATTTTATTTTTATGTACATTTAAGATCTAAAACTTTGATTGATATACAGATAATCTTCCTAAACTTTAAATTATATATAGATAATTAATGTATAAATTAATCATATAGAGTTATCTATATAAATATATAAATTGAGGACAGTTCATTGTAAAGTTTTAAATGTTAAAAAAGTTATGTATATATGATTTAAAATTTAAGGGAGTAATGTATAATTTACCTTTAACGAAACAAATCATTTTCAAGGGAACTATTTTGATCATGTTGGAGGAAAATCATATCTTAAAAAGTGTAATTACAAGGACGGGGGAAAAAAACACATGCTAACTCGTAGAGGGCTTCGATTAGGTAGTGGAGGCTGAAAAAAACTCATCTCTAAATGTGCTCGCCTAATTTTGTCATGGAATGATTTATAAAAATAAAATAAACTAAAATAAAGTTGTGGAATAATAGAGAGATAGAGACAATAGATAAATGAAAACTATTGGGGTGATAGAGGGGTAAGAACGAGGAATGTCATGAATAAAATCATCAATTTAATTCCCACCTATCAATCACTCCAAAACTCTCCCCCCTCTATAATTTCCAATTTTCCATCTCCCTATCAATTTACAACTTTATTTTATATTATGTTTTGATGGATAGATTTGAGTTAAAAATTTAAATTTAAAATCTCATATTTAAAATATTACATTTAAAATAAATTGGCAAATTAAGTTTGGATACACATGGATTTAAATTTAAGCTAAATTCATTGTTTAGATAATTAAAAATATGCCGATTTAGATTTAATGCAATTGCAAATCCAAATCCTACTTAAATCTCTTTGTAATTTTAAATCATTTATAATCCTCTATTATTTCAAATTTTTATGAAAGCTTCTCTCTTTATTGTGTATGTTCATTGACTTCACTACCATTTTAACTTTGACATCATTGCCTCTTACCAACTTTTACAAAGACCAGACTGTCGGTGTCAACTTGAACCAGACCATACAGCTAGAGCCAAACAGACTTCAACTGCCCTCCTCTACCAGTCAATAAAAAATTTTAATTTTATAATTTTAATTTCTTTATATTATCCAAAAAAAGTAATTTAGAAAATATGAATTTCAAGTGTGAAATTTCAAATTTGAATTTCAAAATCAAATTCCTAATCCAAATTTACCTATCCAAATGTATCATAAATTGTTTGCGATGGAACTTGTCAATGGAAAACGTGTTATAATATTGTCTTCATGTATATTTAGTGTTAGTCCTTGACTTTAACGAAGAAAGCCAAATTGATTAGCACGGACTCCGCTTCCTCCTCCCCTCCAATGCTTCTCCTCTGCGCCCTTGATAAGATCTGAATTGTTCATATTTAATTTAAATTTCACAGTCCAAATTTAAAATTTAAAATTTTTATTTATTAAAATTAAAATTATAAAAAAAATCAATAAAGGTGCTAGATAACCAGTTTGGACAATGCAATTTTAATGTGGATAATTCAAATTTAATATTAAAATTTTTATAATTTTTATAAATTAATTATGCAAATATACTGTGGATGGTGCAGATTTAATTCCAACATCCATGTACTCTGATGACTGGAGATTTAATTCCAACATCCAATATATATTTAGTGTTCGAACAAATCTTGAACATGATTATTTCTAATAAAAAAAATAAAAGCTTATGAATCTGATGACTGGAGACTATGCCTTTCTCTGCCTTCTTGACAAAGATGAGGTGCGATGACTTGAAGAATGAAAGCATGGCCAGTGAGCCGCGTGATTAATGTAACAAATTAATACAGCATGAACAGGAGGTTTTTTTTTTTTTGTTGTTTATATATGTGTGTTTGTATCTTTTAATCTTTCGAACTAATTTATGGAACCCCATAAAAGATTTTCTAATTGTTTTCGTTTTAACGCGTTTCAGCAAGATATGAATAGAATTTTTTTTTTTTGGACCAAAGGATAAAAGTTAAAGTTAAAGTTTGTGGTGTAATATGGGATAGGATAAAATTAGAGTTTAATTTAGGATATTAGAGTTATTCATTAGGGATATTTAAATAAAGATATATTTAGAATTTAAATCTTATTAATTATATCTTAATAAATTCTCAACTTTATCTTTATTAAATATACATATTTTAATAACATATTTTCTTTTTCCAATAGGAGAATAAAAGGAAAAATTTATGACAAAAATTTAATAATTTTTTTTGGCCAAATAAAAATTTAATAATGAAACTTATAAATAGGATAAAAAAAATTTTTTTATTATATAAATAAGATCAGAGGAAATAATGAGATACAACTTCAAAGAACCAATTTTACGAATGGTTAAAAACATTAAAAAAAAAAAAACCCCATTCAACTTGTTTTACTCGACGTTCGATGAAATGAATTATTATATTATTGTTAAGGAAAAGAACACCGGAGTATTCAAAGTCCACACAAAAGCAACATAATCGAGGTCATCAAATCAACAAAAACTACTGGGCCTCTTTATTAGATACATTGTAAGTATCACGGATCCAGTTTGGGTGAGTCCAATGTGGAGTGGCTAGATCAAATGTACACGTACGATCTAGACGTCATAAAATTTTATTTTTATAAAAAAAATTTTATATGAACAATTATAAGTTAAAATTTTTAAATTTAAACCATTAAAATCTTTGGATTGCCTATATTTTATTACAATGATCATGTACTCATATATAATGAGTGAGATGTATTATTAATATGAAATAAAGCATGGATTACTTGTGGCACAAAGGGTTCGGACTTTTATCTGGTTACTTTTTAAAGGCCGGCTTCTCACAAATATTGAATGTCTTCATCGTAAGATGACACATGACTCACAATGTTCTATCTATCATGACCTAATGGAAAAACATTAATTATGCCCTCAAAAAATGTCCTTTCGCAACAAATATCTGTAGAAAATTTCTACCCCTTGATATATATGTGTGTGTGCGCGCGCGCTAATTTCTATATGAGGGATTTTACTGTATGGTTATTTGATATACTTTGATCATCCCATGTTGAAATTTCTTGAAAAATTAGCATTAGTATTTTAAGTTGGAAATTATGGAAAGTTTAAAAAAAAAACACATCTTCAATGAGGAGATTATTGATGAATTCTCCTTCTTAG